ACTTATTTAAAAGTTCAGTTTCAAATCTATTTAACATGTCAGAGCCTGTAGGATGTAAAAAAACAATAAATAACATCAAATAACCATCTTCCAATCCACTCTGCCACTAGAAACAAGTTCACACATCTTCAATTCTTCCTGCTTTGAGCTGCAGGTTATCTTCAAGGCTAACAGTCCGCCTGCAACCCACCCCTCCTACAAATTTTTGGGGAAAATTACGGATTTTTGAGACTCATTATACAGGTAAATGTCCGAAGGGGTTGATATGCATGACTTGGACAAATTTGCAAACATTGAAATTTTGTGTCGCAGTAGCTAAAATACACAACACTTGGTTTGAGCACCTAAAGATCGCACAAAATGCCGCAAAACATTATTTTCTAAATTTGACCAGCCATTCGCCTATTATTTTTACCTGTTTCTTCTTTTTCTGGGATGTGGGGGCCACATAGAGACGGACAACTAAACACTCTGGCCTAGAGATAACCTAGAGTTATCAGTTAGCCCAGGGGTGTCCAAACATTTTGTCACATTGGGCCAAAATCATAAAGTCAGAAGGACTTGAGGGCCAAATATATTTTTCCTTTACCTGCTCAACAATAAACTAAGCATTGAATACTTTAATTAAACAAATAAAGTAGTCAGATTTATTGCTGGAAATGGATGTGTGAATTAATGTAGATCCATAACTTTAAAAGTGTTTTGCAGGTTTCCCTTATTGAAAGAAATGTAGCATTTTTCTAGGTTTCGATTGGGGAAAAAATAACCCAATTTAGTCAATTCTAATCAATAAAATCAGGATTTAGGTCACTCTTTTGTTTAAAATGCTTGCTATAGGCAAACAAATTTAATAAATGAATAAAAAGCAGATTGGAGTGCAGCAAAATCAGCTTTTCAGTAAAAGTCACTAGATAGATGTGGAAAAAGCTARGAGTCTGGTTATTTAAAGATGAATAATTGGTATTGTTGCCAATATTTGTTATAAAATTTTAATTTGTGATAAATTTGCCCTAATAATAAATAGAAAGTCTCCATCCACATCAAACACCTGTTCCGGGGGGACAAATTTGCTAAAAAATTATTATAGTTCTTGAACTGAAGTCAGGGGCCACACAAAATCAGTTCAGGGGCAACAAATGGCCCCCGGGCCACACTTTGGACATCACTAAGTTAGCCTAACATGTATTTCTTTGGTCTATGAGAGGAAACCGGAGTACCTGGAGAAAACCCATATGCACACAGAAAGTATAGGCCAACTCACCATTGGATTACTTTCTGCAACCTTCTCTTTGAGACAATCGCTCTACCAAAWGTGCCACCATGTTGGCCATAATTTGACAAAAAAGGCTAAACATAAGATTGTTTTAGTGTACAGTTCTAGGATGCAAATAGAACTGTACAAATATGCATTTCTACCAAGGATTGCTGCCCTAAATTTTCTATTTTAAAACATTTTAGTTGTTTCCAACTGGTGTGCAGAGTTATACGATAAAAGAACACCAGTCTTAGTAGCAATGCTCAAGTGGCTATAAAAGTTTCAACTTGTACAGTAAGACAATATTTACACAGGAGCAATCTGGATTTCCCAAATGAGCTGATTTTAGATCACATTATTAAATGCATAACAAGCTGTAAAATACTTAGAACTGGTCGCACCACTGCACTAATAATATGCACATGTAATTTTTTTAGTTAGTTTATTCATTTCATTTAAAACAAAAAACAAAACAATTTTTATACACATTAAAAACAAAAAAATACACAACCAAAAAAAATATAATTTGGGGATTAAAAAAATAAAAAGCAGTGAGCAAATCAACACTTTCAGCAATGAACTAATCAGATTGCTGCCTTGATCTCAAAGGGAAAATTTAATATCCAAGCACCAGCTGGCTGATCTACGACAATTGTGTGTTTAATATCAGACGCAGCAAACAGAAAAAAACAACAACCTGCGCGAGAAACAGGACAAACCTGTAGAGGGAACATACAGATCTGCTTTGTCCGACACATCATGGCTGCATTTTGTTCAGGGATGGATTATATTTTGACTCTTTGATGACCTTAGCTGAATGTCACAGTGCATCTCCTGTCCAATACTGACTGTGCACATGCTGACTGAGCAGCAGCTTGCAGCAGATCAATACAACCGTTGCACATTGTGTTACTCTTTTTTTTCCCCTTTTGGCAATAGGAAGGCTTCTATAAAAGGCAAAGAACGTCCTGGGAAGGGAAAAGACGGGGTGGAGCCTCCACACTAGTTACTATGAATACAAACACTACTAATACCATTTGATAAAAGTTTATGAATAGCTAAATTTAAATATTTCAAAATATTTTCTTAACATTTACATGAAAAGGAAGGATGTGAGATCATCTTGTCCCTATCAGTTGTTTAAAACAAGTAAAAAATGAACATATCATTTATCTAACAAGATCAACTCTAAGGTGCAGAAGCGTTGTGTGAAAGTCTACACTTTCCCCTTTTCTAGTGAATTAAAGGGATTAGGCAGCTAATCAAACACACTTGATTAGTTGATCCTTAGCAAAAGCAGAGATTTTGGTCTTTTGCTTGTACTGGGAAATCTGCTGTGTGTTAATGAGGGAAAAACAGTGATGAACTCAGATAAGCAACGTTTACAACCTATTCATCTAGGGTTTTAAGGCCACTTCCAAACTATTCCATCTTTCTGAAGAAAATCCATCTCCGTGTGGCAAACATTTAATTCAGTTTCCAGTTTATTAAAACAGTAGACGTGAAAACTCAAACACAACAGTGCAACATTCGTTTGTAAAGTTGTTTGAACAAACCACAAGACTTCAGAGACAATGATCTTGAGGTTGCGCTATTTGTGTTTAGTCATGATATGCAGCACTGTTTAGCATAAACCATACTCAAAATATCAGAACAGCCACAAATAGTGTTGTAGCAAAAATAATATAGTTCAAGACTTTTTTTTTTATTTATTTAAACCAGCTAAGATTTGTCTGTTGGTCTAGAAATGTAATGTTAGTTCCACCAAACTATTTCCGAATATCAAATCTCATATTCACAACTGTTAAGCATAGTGGTGGAGGGAGATAATTTGGGCTTGTTTGGACTAAATCAGGCAAAATAAAAAGAAGTAAAGCAGTGAAAAATAAACTTTTGATTATATTTTAAGCTTTACGAAAAGACAGTTTCAAGTCCCCAACACTACAAACTTGTTTGAGCACCTGAAACACCGGCATCAACCGAAAGCCAGAAAATGTGGACCAAGGCCACAACGTTGGCCACATGAAAGTACAATTGTCATGTATTGTCATTTTATTCATTATTGGATAAATGACACAATTAACAGTGCTAAACATTTATGCCATTATATTACTTTCCAACCCTAACCCATACAAACTTTCAAGAATTGTTGTGAATTGGTTTTGGCTATGTAACAGTTTAACACAAGACTGTTCACATGCATGTTTGTCTCTTTCCCCTTTTGGATACAAAGCCTGGGCAATAATGTTTAACATGAAAAGAAATCTACCAAACACAACAATCCTGTTTTCACAAGCATTATAAATAAAGCCACACACAACAAAGCCTTTATTGCCACCTTAACAAAGAATGTTGCTGGTACAGGTGAAGATTGCTCGTATGCCTGATCGTATCTACTGGCATCTTCTAGCAACGGTTCCCTCTTCAGTGGTCGCCACAGCGAGCCATCCTCCCTCATCTCACTCCAACTGCCTGTGTCTTCTCTGACTGCATCCAATRTCTATGTCTTCTTCCTGGCAACTGCATCTCTAACATTCTTCTACTAATATACCCTCTGGACAAGTCCAAAACCATCTTGGTCTTAGTCAATCAACCTGTTCTGTACCACTGATGATCACATTCCTAATCTTATCAATCCTTGTCTATAGATTTAAGATAACATGAGCAATAAATTAATAACTTTTGGGCTGACGACAAAGCGGTACTGTCACATTAGACTGAGAGACATAAGGGACAAATTCAGGTTTGGGATAGTTTTAATAGTGAGTGTTTTAACTATTTCCATTGTCCATTTTTTTTGTATACCCTATGTGTAGCTGCTAGTTAATTCCCTGCTCTGTTTGTTCTTGTATTGTTCACAGTCCAATAAAGTGATCTGTCATTACTGTTGTGACTTGCGTCACCCTTGGGGTCGTAGGTGAGATCAGGAGTGGGACTATGACACTACTATTTTTGAATAACAGACTGGAGGGAACATGGTCCTTTAGGATTTTCTCATTCTGGAACTTGGATGAGGAAAAAATAAAATACAGTTTAGGGGCTCCTTATACCTTCGTGTAGACTGTTCTTGCATTTGTCACACACAAACATTTGTTTTGCTGATTCAGAGTCACTCAGTGTGGATCCTGGAGTACTCGGTGGGTGTGGTTTGGTTTGCACATCACCTCCMGACAAAAGAAAACTCTTTATCTTAAACATGACTCACAACAAGGCCATAAAGGTACTATTAMCTCCAGGAAATACTCAAAGGAAGTGACTCCTGGTTGTTGCTTTTTTCCTCGCACCCTAACCTGGGCTGGACCTGGTTATTATTGGGGGATCTCTGCAGGGTTCACTGTGGAACCAGGAGACCAGACTCTTGGACGTTGAGTTGAACCTATAAGCGTTCGGACAGTAGGCATGAATGGTGGTGGTG